CCTAAGAGAATTACGAAGAATGCGTATACATTCACGAAAGATATTATCTGCTTTAAAAAAAAATATTCCTGTTCGATTTTCAGCAAATTGTGTAAATACATCGCACTGCTAACACAACGCAAAATATTACATAAAATGTCCTTATACTTCTAGAAATTACATAAAAAACGCATCGTGAATAATAGACGTATAAAAGCAAGAATGTTAATTAAACAGCAAGTAATTAAAACTTTGCCACGGTATACAAAAACTCTTTGTCAAGAATTCAGTATAGGCAATTTCCCATAACAATCTGTCGTCGGTACTTGAACCGTGTGTTTAAGTAGGCAGTGAAGCAAGTAAACTAGTAGAGGAAGCGTACGGTAGTGTATGACTACGAAACAAAATCGAAGACAAGAACTTCTGTTTTACAAACGCGGAAGAGCAGCATATGCATCGTATCATAATAAATCAAATAAAGCGCATACACGCGGGAATATAACCGACATACTTTTTACATCAGAACAAAGAATGATTACATAAAGCTGCACATTTGCAAAACTGTCCATACACTTCTGGTGATACCAAGTGTCTAATATGTATAATGCAAAAGTTTCATGCAAAAAACAAACGGTACTTACATACAATATACTTTACAAAATTTTTCATACATTTGAGAAAGAATAATCAAAACGACAATATATGGAGAGATGATACTGCACCTCCCTCCCCTTTCCTTTCATGCTTCAGTAGATAAATCCTAAAAAGATTTTCTTTCTCAAAATAAGAGGAAACGCCGACAGAGATTCGACCACATTAATTGGTTTGCGACGGATTCATCCGTGACGGCAATAGGCCATTAAATGTGTTTTTCTAGGCGCTACCACTTCACGTAGAGATAATATTTTGACGATATGGGACGGATGTGCGTGTGCTACGTGTACGTACGTGGAACCACGTACGTTAGTCGGCGTTTAGGCCACCTTATGCAAACACGGAATTTTCGATGGTCAAGTCGCAGTAATAACACTTTCGTGCGCAAACAACGCGGAAGTCGATAGTTACCGAAGTTTGCCGTGCGTGGTCGCGTTTAAACTGGTTTTTTTTGTCGTTCATCGGCTGCCGCTTTCCCTACTTGAAAAATGCACCTATGTAAATCCATTAACGTCTCTTTATACGCCGAGATTGTTTAGAGTGAGCGCGATACGTGCGTCAGTTACATTCGGCTCGAGAGAAAAGAAAATAAAAGCACGCTCGTAAAGCTTCAGGCTCGAATTTAAGCTCGAGCCGGGAAAATGGAAAATCGGATATATATCGCAAATGGCACTCTGAAATATATATCCAAATCCTTTACGAATTTTCCGAAAGAAAGAAAGAAATAGCTTAAACGATGAAAGATTCTTAAAATTTATGTTTAAATAATAGAATACAAAATCACAAAATCAAAATTAAAAATATCCCCCCCCCAAAAAAAAAAGAAGAAATATCATCTTAATATTTCATATTAAAAATATTTTATATTTGATAATCTTAAATGACATTAAGCCGTTATAATTTCTTAAAATATTATTGATTTTACGTTTTTATAGTTTCGTCAAGCTCAGAATAAAACTTTTAATAGCTTGACGACTTCTCCGACTCGAGAGAGGAAGACGGCCAATTAATCTAAATTTCTCGATCTCGTTCCTAGATAAAATGCCTACGACAGTATCACGTATTAATCTACCAGGAAGAAATATTTAATACCACCTCGCGTCAAGGATGTGTCATCTACCTATCTATCTACTCGACTATCCACTCGGCTAATCCGCCACATAATCTCCACGTAATCATGTAGAATTGTCAATATTTCGTTTGATGTGTCTGTAAAGGAATCTAACGTACTATCGTACGCATTGTGTGCCGAGTATATATGGTTCGCGAGCATAGAATCGGATACGTCTTATCGGACGGATATCGACGTACGACCGAATAGCGGATCGGTAATGGAGACCTGGACGTCTGTTCGAAGAAAAGAGATACACGTCTGGCACCGAATAACCTCGACGTCGGATATAAAGCCTGTCCTCGCCAGTGATATTTATTTGTCCGGATGGCGATACACTGGGTGTCCTTGCGCTTCGTGGCTTATCGGATCACTCGACGTGTCCGAGATCGGATAATTGTTCCGAGAACGGGTCGCGACAATATTGTTCCTTCCCATGCGAGACAATTGCGTAGATAATTATTACAGTGCCGAATGTAGAATACGAGTGAAATAAAGTGTAAAAATGGATGCGAGAGAAATTTCGCTACGTATCGCTAGTCTTCATTTTCGGTCTCAAGAAAAGTCGGGTTACTTGCCGAAAGAAAAATCATTTAACTACTATCCAATATCTTACATAGATAGCATATTTCTACTTTATTACAATATATAAGAATAAACTAAATTCATTTTAAGAAAATAGTGCATTATTTTGTCATTGTTATTTACAACTTTAAAACGACAATTAAAAACAAAATTTTATTCTAAAAAAATTCAATTCTCAGATTTTAATTAAGTACTTTATATATATTCTATTGATTCTATTGACTTTTAAGTACTTTATATATATTCTATTGATAAATATTGTATATAATATTTATTATTATTAATATATTATTTATTAATAAAATAACTATATTCACATTTTAAAAATAGATTAATTATTCAAAATATTACATTTTTTTAATCTAATTGGTCAATCAAGCATTTTTTTAAATCTACATATATGACGTAAAAATATATGGGTTTCAGATTATAATCAAATATTAAAACAGCATAGATCATATCACAAATAGAACCATGCCAATTAGTTTGTAAGAATGATCCATAACTCTTTACTATTCTGACGCGGAAACATAAATCGCCGACCATTACCTCGCCATTGGCGAAGGAAATATAAATGTGTGCGCCTACTTACAAAGTGATAATAATCGCGCTCCATGTAAATGGCTAGGCTTTTGCCTAAGGCAAGCGTCAACATGACCTTTGCCAAAAAAAGTAGAAACGTATTAATTTATAAACATTTGCACACTTAGACGCGTAGATTGAATAAAGCCAAGAAACTTTAAGCGAATACTAAATTTTAATAAATAGAGTGTACCGATGATGTAAGAATATGTAAAAGATCAACCTCTTCGACGACAGCATACAACATTAATTAATCCAATAATTTGCAAATAACAAGAGAAAAGAGACATTTTAAAAATACCATCACAAAAATACTGTGTTGGAAGAACTCTCTTATACGATTAAACTTTAATGTACTGATAGTAAAAACTTTAATCCTTGAACAATATCAGTGTCACATATTAAGATTTAATGTAGATACATTTTCAATTAAATTAATAAAATAAATTATTAACGTAATATATTTAATGTTGGCAAAATCAATAAAAATTGATATTACTTATTAAAGTATTTACTATGTGTAATTAGTGAAATTAATAATTTCTATAAATTTTAATACATTTTTAACGCGTTAAAATTTGATAACGTATTTGCTAAATTTCTCAAGATTGAAAATATTACTCACTTTCGGCCACTATCGAGAAATCTGTCGAATTCCACGGACATCTTGCAACAAAGGGCCCGCCGATTGTGCGAAGACGAGCACTTGGTGTTGATCATGTGGCCGTCTGAAAGCAAAAGGAAGGAGCTGAATGTAGAGTGGGCGTGCAATTAATTAAGAGGTTAATAATCATCCTGGTGAGTCGCTGCTACGGCAGTCTAATTAATTTAGGCTGATGGTTCTCGCTTCTTCAGGAGCGGGAACCATCCTTTTGAGAAGAGGATACATTGCGATGATACGCGCACATATATATCTTCACCATACAATCAAATTTGGCGTAATTATTAATCGTAAAGATAATTTAAACTGTACGTGGAAAAAAAATTTGAAATGAAAATCAAAAATTATCAGACTGCGATATCTATTATATGTCCGCACAGTTTCGTGTGTGTGTCTCAACAATAATAATAAATATCATAAAGTACAAATAGTGAATGTTAAATAATAAGGTATAAACTTCGATAACATGTAGCAACGTACCAATGTATTAAGAAATTTAATTTTTATACATATAATTTAGAATTTAATTATTTAAAAAGTTTGCGCGCGCGCGCGCGTGTGTGTGTGTGTGTGTGTTTATATTGTGTATATATTTGAAATAAATAATATGCACACAAAATAATCATTAATTTTGTTACAATAAAAATGCAAATATATATCGTTAAAACAAACACACTTTGTTCGAAAACATAATTTGGAGAGAAGCAACCAGATATTATATAATCAATCAAATTACTTCATATAATTGGTATTTTTCGAGATATCATCATGCGAGATCTCTTGTGGTCGGCGTCCACACCTGGATAAATCGCGAAGGATGGATCGAGTTTGAGTCAGGTAGAAACGGTAATGAGAAACGGCCGGTGCGGAGGTGCAAACCGGTGCAGAGCGCGTGGTGAGGTCAAATGTCGGACGGTGCCCGAGGGTTCGCGTGCTCATCCCTTCTCCTGCGACCTTCCGCACCCGATATTATCTACCTCAGGACCCGCGTCCACCCACGCTCCAGCCTCCGCTCGTGACTAATGCATGGCTCGAGTTATGAGTGTAACATGAAATAATGTCGAATTTATTATAAGGGGCGCCCGTGTGCACGCGCGCGCCACGATCCACGCCAGTCAAAAGTCATCTTTTTGCACACGAAGTATCTTCGACCGTTGCCACACGCATTCATCATTTCAACGAATCCCCGATACCATTTTGTCTCGCGTGCGAAAGGATCCCATGATCGCGATGCTTTCCCTCCGCAATTTCTTTCGTTTCCTTTCTTGTCCGTTCGGACGAGAGTGACAAGGTTATTGTCCAGATGACTGAAATAACGCGAATGAGAACTTGCTTTTCACCTCGTCCATTGCATGTTCTTCACGTTCCCGATGCATCTTTTCATTCTCTCTTGACCGTTTCTCATCATCCGCTTTCTCCGCCTGCTTGTCATCTGCATCCGCGCCTGAGGGAGCAATTGGGCTGCACTCCATAGTAGGTTGGCAATGATATTACCGGTCAAAATTCGCCGTTGCCGTCATTATCCAAGTATTACAAACCCGTTGCTAGCTTACGAATACAAATTACAAAAACAAAAAAATTCATTTCGATAATATGTAATTTTAATATGAATTTTTTATAACAGAAAAGAAAACAACCCTCGAGATAACATTTAAATAAATTTCAATAAAAATATATATTAAAATTCAAAATCAATTAATTAAAAGGCTACTTTATACATTTTAATATGATCAATTGATTCGCGAAAAAGGAGCATCAGCAAAAACTAGAAATAAAAACTGAAACTGTAATTAATTCGAGCGAAGTTTTATGCTTTACTTCATAAAATTAATTTTAATCTATTTTAATAATCAAAACATGATAATCTACTTAATATAAGATTATAAATATAAATATATTTATTCCAAGAACGCTCTAAATGGTGACGCTCTAAATTTTCGCATATAGAGAATCTATCGACGCGATAGATTAATCTATCGATCACTGCGGGGGATTCGTGCAATGTACTTACGTGCGAAGTTCGCAAACCGGTCGTTCTAACATGTATATAGAATACCGTAATACCTATCGAGCAACTCGCAACACGTGCCCTCTCCTCGACATCGATTTCTCTTTATTGGACACACGGTGTCTCGATTAGCAGATAATTATCCAGTACTATGTGTTAATATATTGGCGCTGTAATATTAATGAAACGATAAGATTCTCGACTAAGATGGCAAAAACAAGATCAACGGAAGTAGATAATAACTTTTACATCTTTCTCGTTTCGAAATAATAAAATTATTATACACATGGGACAAATCCAGAAGATTAAAAAAATAATCAATATTTCTACATATTATATTTATCCGACCAAAGTATTTTAGTTTTATTTAAAAGGGGTTATTTCCAGTTTTATTAAAAAGGGGAAATGCAACAGCGTAGCATTTAGCTAGCTATTTAAGTTTAATAAACTTAAAACAAAAAATTAATTTAGTTTATATAGTTTAAAAAAATTAACAATTGCAATTTATAAATATTAACAGATAAAATAATAAAACGGATAAAAGTGATATTACATTTTTTTTCGTTTTTTTTTTTCTATGCTTTCGATTTTAACAAAAAATATCCCAAGCAATTGTCCAAATAAATCGCACCTTAACGGATGACCCAAACGCAGACATAACTAAACTTTCGAAATGATTGACGAGCAACTCGGCTCCTACGACGAACGAGCCGAGCTCCTGCACACGCACTCGTTTCGCCAGCAATTATCGCATAAACGAGGACGGCCATTAAGATCCGCTGTCGTAATTATCCATGCCTTGTCTTGACACGACGAATATACGTACATCGCCCGAGTTTCTTTTTTAATAGAGCCATTTGTACGGAAACCGTTTACGGTCTCGTACATCGACAGGTGTTCTCATGACCTCGAGATTGTTGGTCGACAAGACAACATCCATTTATTGCTTGTGTATCCCTTTTTTTTTTATAAAATTGCAATCGACGGAACCATAATACATAATATGTGTAAAAATATGAGATTATGACCGGAAAAAGACCGGAAAAAATCGACAAATTGACTGCGAAAAAGAGACATTTCTAAAGCAATAAATAAACAAAAAAATTTTGATGCAAACACATCACAATCGATTGTGTCACAATAGTAATTTAAATATCAATATAATAGTTTATTTATTGTTTTCACTGTTAAAGTTATTTCTGCTTTGCAATAAATATATTCTTCATTTTATCTCGCGTGCTACAATAGTTCAAATGCCAGAAATAATCGCAAGCAAAATATAATTCTAAATTGATCTTAATGTCATTTTATCTATCTTATTATGATGTCGTAAATTCTAGCAGAACCAAAAATGAATTTATAATTTAGTAAACCATGATGACTTTATGTTTTAACATAAATATCACACTAAAAAATAATCTTCCAATTTAATCATTATTCCATTTATACTATACTTTATTTTTATTCAATTTATTATTGAAATACTAAATTATAAATACAAATCAAAGATTAATCATTTACTTATTAAATTTTTAAATTAAAAATAAAATTTTTATAAACGCAAGATAAAATAGCAAATAGCTAAATGAGATTAGTACTGATATAATAAGACAATTAGAAACTCTTTTTTTTTTGGTTGTGCAAAAATTAACTACAATAAAGTATTGACAAATACTCACTGGTTTGATTTTGGAAATATGGATCATCTCTATCGGTGAAGAACCAAGTCTGCAAATAAAAACAAAAGGGAAAAATCATTACATTTTGATTACATATACGCGGCTCTTTCGATTATATCCGATGCGGCGCAATAATCACGCTATGGCACGTACATACATGCATGATTGTTTACCACCAAACAATACGCATCACGTATCGACCATAAATTTCAGTCCCTTTCTTATCCCTTTAAAACGGATCGTTGTATATACGATAGTTATATGCAATAAATCTTATAACCTTAAAGCACTTTGCGCCACTACGGTATACTTCTCGCATTTTGTATTCGCGAAATAACGAAATCATAATGAGTTCTGAAAACTGAACAGGAAATGAAAACGAGTCCTCAATAAAAAAAAAGATCAGGCGTAAATGTTGCTATAAAGCATATCGATGTTCATGTTTTAAAATTTAAAAATCATAAGGAAATTGCGATCTTAACTCGCTTCGTCACAAAATATGATTTTTACAAGTAAAAAAAATTACTTAAAAATATAATTTCACATATACAAATATTTTCTAGTTGCAAATTGCAAAATGTTAAACGTTACGTCATAAATTGAAACGTCATTGAAAGAAAACTAATAATATAATTTATAACTACAATATTTTTTTGTCTTTTTTGCTATTAGTCGCTGTTCAAAGTAAAAGTCCGAGTACGAAAGCAGATACGGAAGTGTGATAAAATACCATACTTTCAATTAAAGACTATTCACGGTTCTCATGTATTTCGTCGCGCTGGAAAATTTATTTCAGAGCACCGCGAGCTGAGACTTCCCATTTGTATCTGTCACATCCTTCCGTAGCAGTTGCATCTGGACTCGAACGTATCGCAGCATCGTTACGTTACGATCGGCGTACACTGCACGTGTTAAAGTCACTTATTTTTAGTTCTCAAGAGTAATTCCCTTCAGGAAGTGAACGAGCAAGAACGACCGAAGGAGATGGTGCTCCAGACGTCACATGCATTGTCCCGATGATTTTCACGTCTATTAAGTTGGCACAGCCATTTCAGCAAAATTGAATGCGACTTATATAAAAATTGCTATTTTTTTGCTAATCAATTACTCTATTTCTCATTTTTTGCTCCGGTCGATTCGATAAAAACAATGGATTTAAGACTAGCGTAAGATGAAAGATAGCGCAGTCATAAGGAAAAGCAGGAAATTAAAAAACAAATATGTATTTTATATTTTTGCAGTGCTATTTTTTGCTAATTAATTATTCTATTTTCGATTTTTTTGCTCCAGCAATTCGCTAAAATCAATAGCTGCGTTAACTATCATTAGCTATTGTTAGCTAAAATTAATGTTAGCATAGCCATAAAAAAGGAAATTAAAAGACAAGTATGTATCGTTATTAATTTCCTGTTTTTTTTTTTGTTACGGCCGTACTAACTTTAATCTTAAGCTAATACAGCTATTGGTTTTAGCGAATTGGCTAGAGCAAAAAAATCGGAAATAGAGCAATCTTATCGCGCCAGTTCTATAAGTTGCTAAAAAAAAAAAAGGAAAAAAAATACCTGCAAAACAAAACGCACAATGCTAAACAAAACATTTTTGCTGCTCTTATATTATACTTTCTTCGCTAAAATAGTGTCCGCTAAAATATAACGGGATTTATTAAAGAAATCAAAAAGATGTAACTCATGAGATTCTCAAATGCGCTTGTATTATTCCTAGGTATCAGAGCATTGATTCAATGTTTCAGAATCATCGAACGATAAATATGGGTACCACCCACCAAAATCATATGATGATGATAAAGGAGAAAGGGATTGATTGCAACGAGTTCGATGTTCAAATTATTTCTTACAACAGTATGTTAACAAAATTTCGCGTGCGTTAGAGAATTTCGATAATTACAACGTAATATTTCGAAAATTTACATTCGTGCGATATTCGTTCATCGAACGCATATTGCACGTGCCAATGTTCGCATTTTATATCATTGATTAAAACAGACTTAGATCACTTATTTCGATATATCGCACAATGCATTATACAAATAGCGCGTTATTTAATCAATCGGCTAGTAGTCTCTGAGCGCAAATTTAATCGACTGCATGTATCAGGATTATACAAGCTTTAATTTTAAAAACAAAATTAAATGAATTGCAGCCGCGTCGATAAATTCGTCGGCATGTCTTGAATATAGCCATAACGGATATCCGTGGCATAACGTGACAAACGTAAAAATAGCACGTGCAAAAAGGCGCTACAATTGCAACACGTTTTATCTGAGGCATGCGTAGAGAGAGAGAGAGAGAGAGAGAGAGAGAGAGAGAGAGACTCGTCAGCATTCCCAGAAAGAACATGAATATCCGGCAACGAATGAATGTCGAGTACAAAATAAGAGACGGGTGTATCGCAATGACGTCAGTAGCACCGGCGTCACATTACATCGACATAATTGCATTAATCCCGCACGTACTTAAAAGAGCCGTCGTTAAGCCGATCTTGAAGCTCTTCCCGGAAATTCGTTGAATCGCCTCGAGTACTGGTTATCTTGTTCGCGATATTCGTTTGTGAATGTGTCAAGAGCGTAGAATCGTATTAAGACTCATTCGTTACGTCTAATTAAGTGAGACAAATTTGTCTTAAAAAGAGAAAAAAAATTTAGCGATCCTACCTACGCGAAATAAATATCATCTCTTATCAATTCCTAAAAAAAAAAATCATAAAAATATATTATGAATTTATTTAAAAAACTAACTTATTAAAAGATTAATTCAATAATCAAGAATATAATAATAAAATACGTAAATTTTAACTAAGTACAAGATAAAAATTTCAAACAAGTATCCAATAAAAAACTTAATTAAACATGCCATTAATATCTCAAATAGATGATTTAAAACCTTAATGGAATATAAATGAATAAAGAATCGTATATATCGTATACATACATACATTTTCGCTATAAAAAGATAATAAACGGAAGATTTTTCAAAATTTTAATTTTCTGATCAATCCTGTTTGATCTAAGGTTTACATAATTTTCAATTATGAGAAGCTGGATAAATATTTTTCGACGATGATGCGTCAGTATCGCGTTGAGGGTCAATTGGAAATCGCAGCCCCAATAACTCACTGTATATAAGAGCAATGAAAATTAAGAGGAAATAATTAACCAAAGCAGTGAGGTCTCATCGACGCGCCGCACAGGATTGTATCGGATCTTTTAAGATTTGCTTAAATAACTAAAGTAATCGACCAATTATCCGAAGCCAGTTCCGATGGGTCGGTCTTCGTCGATTGAGGGGTTGCTGTATCAGCCGAGTCATTCTAAGTAACGACACCAGACTTTGACCCGCGATCGACCCTCGAGATCTCGAAGGGTTCTCTTTTTATGAATCACGAAAATTTGTACCTAACCAATGTGTATCCACACCTCCTTAATGACACAATAATCGAACGGCATGACTATCAAGTTTAAAAGACGACTTGAATTTTAGGTCCTAATAAGAGCTTTATAAGTTTGTTCAAAAAAGTTTAGAAAAAAAATATCCTCACAAAGTATAAAATTACCGAAATTTGATTGACGAGAAGATTCTAAAGGAGAAATCGTTTGTGAATCATGTGCTTTTTGCGTGTAATTAAGAAAATTTATTTCTTTTGTCATAATATATTTCTTTTTATTGTACTTTAATAGACTTTTTCGACATTTTATTTGTTAAGATATTTAATAATAAATATTGATAAATTATAACAAATAACTGCTCTAGATATTTTGCTCTTAGATGTCTGAAGAACAATCTAAATAAACCGTACAATATTAATTATTTCATCCTATTATATGCCACATAAAATACTGAGTATAAGAACAAGGAAAGAAGTAGCTGGAGAGATGTATAAATATGGCCATTAAAAGACTATTAATAGCGTCATAAGGTCGAAGGAAGAAAGACAAATATATAGGAACTGTGCCAACGATCAATGCACAATCAATGTTCCTCCTCAGTGGAGCGCATTATTAAAACGCATTGCCTCTAATATACGACGTATTAATAACCAAAACATTGCGACCTCTGTCGCTCACCTCTATCCAATTTAGAAGAGAAACTTAACACCTCAACAACGAGTTGTAATATTATAGTTTTATTTCTTTTTTAAAAGCAAAAAGGTTTTTTTTTCTTCAGAAGATTCACAGAAAGAAAAATCTTAAAATATATGTTCAAAAATATTGATTAATGATAGAAAAAAAGATTACACTGAAATAATCAAAAACAAAAGACTACAGAATTTTACATTTTTCTAGATATTATTTCACGAAGAAATTTTACGAATACTTACAAAAACTATTCTTACATGTTTAAAACCTGCAAATGATTTTAAATTTCACACAGATGATTAGGTTTCTATTCAAATTTATTATTATTCTTACTGAAATAATTATCAATCTGGAATAATTAATAAGTTATTTTTTTAATTTGACAAACATTAGATAACAATTTTAATTTGAAAAATGGATCAAATACAGTTTAAAACGCGTATAAATTTTACAAATTATAAAAATATAAATAAATTATCTTACTTCTATAAGTATAGCATTTGATTACGTGATTAAAAACAAACCGACGTTCTTTACGTAAACGTAAGAAAGTTCCCTTATTATACCAATTATAATTGTTTTCTATACGATATTATGTACTGAATGCACCGGATTTCTGCAACAATACGTGAGAATCAATAACAATCCCGATCTCACACGTAAATGAAAGAAATTCCGGCTGACTCGCGGGATCGTGCGCATCGTTTAATTATCGAGAAAGAAACGACGAAAAAGGTGAGTTCGTTTGAGAGTACTCGTGGGTGGACTAAGTCAGCTAACGCGGAGGTCGCAGGGTCGGAGGTAAATCGTGAGATCTTCCCACGAACCACAAACCGTACACAGCCGGACACAGACTTTTATTATTCTCATCACCCTTTTTCTCGCTCGCGTCGCGGAAAATGTGTGCCACTGCGAGTCACAAGCAACGTGTGTGTAAACGCGTGGAAAAAGCGTGAGATCGACGGAAGTAAAGAATAATTGGGATACGAAACAAATTAAGGCACTGCGATTATAAAAACTGCACGAGAATTATTTTCTAATGCACTGAAACCTACCTATGCTCTTCCAACGTGTATGTTCGAAACAAAATCTCTGTCAAGTTGATTCTCTTTCTTTTTAAATTTGGAAAAATAAGCAAAATTCTGACTTCCCGAAGACAATCGACTATTTTTATCATTAAAATTAAAAACTAAAAAATTCTACTAAATTTCACAAAATTTTTTAAGTTTACAAAAATAAAAAATATTTTAAGAAACCCAGCTATATTAAACATAAAACTTTTTCTACAATCGATTAGGAACTCCAAAACCCTTCAACCCTTCAGAGGGCAGAACTAATAATAATTTCAAAAAAAATAAATATATAAAATAGAGATTTTGAGATTCAATGATAAAAAGATTCGTGATTATCGTTCAAAATTAAGACTCTATAAGGAACATATCCGATTGTTGAAGTTTGGAAATGAATGAATCGAGGATGTAAAGTAAAAGTTAGAAAAATAAAATCAAATAAAAATATCAATGTAAGATAATGTATCCATGACTAATTCGTTAAGATTTTCATTCTGTGAAGAGCGTACAGAAAATCAACTGAGATTACAGGAAACGCAAGAACTCGTGCAAATCCAGAGTAATTACCTGGAGGAATGTAACTTACGGTATATTAACCTGGCGAAGTACAGAAGGATGCGGAAGCTGCTGAGATGCGCAAGTATTTCGTTTCTTCCGACGCAAAAGTTACATCGAGATGTAACTTGATGTATGAGAACTTCCCAAGGTTTCCTCATCAGTATTAATTATCAAAAAGTATTTGTTTGATACTTCAATCGATCAGCATGATCAATTGTTGCAAGAATTTGAATAATCAATTCTGTTCAATACGTAACATAAACATGTTTCCAATATACAAATAAAAATGTAAAAATAAGAATATATAAGTGCGTGCATACATAATTATTTAATCTAATTACAAACTCGATCGCATAAATATTAATAAATTTATATTGTATAATAAAGAGTAAATTTATATTAGTAATTTATATTATCAAAACAATGTAATATTAATGGCCGTGCGCATTAAAAGAAAAAAAAAGAGATTTCGCAAAAGATTTTAATTTATTATGATTAAAAACGTTGAATCAATTTAATACTGCAACGATAATATCGCTTAAATTTCACTTGGGGCGCAGAACAGCGCTTCTTGTTTTCGCATGGACGGTACCCCAGCGATGTTTACGAAAAGGCAAATGAGAAATTGTAGGGAAGGAAGAGTGGAACGAATCACATTCCCACGGCGCGAGAAATCGTGAATTCACGCTGATCATCGGCGACATGGTCTACGGTAAATACGCGCGAATACGCTTCGATACCCTTGGATAAGACCCAACGAGTCGTATACAAAGTGTGGCCTATTCCGCTCCATAAGAAAGCACGTAGATGAATCTCTCGATGATGGAGACGTCGCGATAAGACTATGCGTGCATTTATCACGCTTCAATACGATTAATTCTTATGGCTCTTGTCTGAGTTTTGTTCTCCCCATAAATAAGTGTTTCAAAAATATCACGTTATCTTAATCGTAAGAAATATCATGGCTATGTGTAGGAATTCCCTATTAAAATTATTATTGAACACCCTTAGTAACAAGCAAGTATATATCTATACGGCAGACAAACCATTTAATTAACCATTCGCATTTAATTACATATTAATTAATAAGCAGAATCAAATAAAACGAGGCTTGCGATCGCAGAGCGAAGTGGGCACGATTACTTATGAAGCAAGTAAAACCCAAATCCAAATTATAAAATTAACATACAGGAATGAAACGTACGTAGGAATATGTGATTACATATCAGAGAATATCCCGATTATCGAACGATATTCTCAGAATGTTTCCACGTGGTCGTCCTACATTCGTAATGAGATTGTCGCAAGGTCGGAGACGCAAGAAACGAGGTGATCGAGCGACGCTAATGAATCCGGGATATCGGCATTTCACGGCGATCCGCGCGGCGCAAAGAGGCTTACCTGATTCCTGGCGAACTGGAACCACGTGTCGACGATGGCCGGCAAGCGCGAGTGATGATAATGCTTGGTGGTCTTCACGCTGATAAACACGTCATCGAGGTTCGTGGCGAACGGTGCCATAGTCGCCGTCGCCACCGGCGGCGTCATCGGCAGCTCCTCGCTGATTAACTTTCTCAACGCCGGCACTTCCACTATCACGCTCCGACTGTTCACTTCCGCCACATTCATCTCATCGACCCACTGCGACAGACAATTATCAGAAAGTATTATTAAAACGAAATGAGAGAAAGGAAGGTTCTCGGAGAAACATTCGCGAGTGTCTGTGATGAATTTTTCTTCAATTATCAAGGTTCGTGTATCGAGGAAAGATTAAAAAATTGTTTTCCTTAATATGTAATTTTGTATGCGTTATTTAATATAAATGGAATATATCTTAGATTATTAGAGCCCTCGCTATATGCAATATATACTGAGATAGCTATTGATAATGAAAATATAATATCTCGTCGATGGTATAACGCCTAATTCTTCGATTAATTTGTAGTCTTTTTTTTATTAAAATAATTAAAACTGAAAATTTTCCTTATTAATTTTCCTTATATTAAATATTAAGAAAAATCTTTTCCTACAAATTATAAAGTAAAATTTAATTTACTATAATTTCAACACACAAGTACATTATAATAAGAACGATATCTTTTTTTCTTTAATATAATACAAAACACTATAATCAACATCAATCATGAAATGCGTAATCTACTTTCTTTACGTGAGAAAGTTAAAATTTCAAACTTGTTTGTCGATAAAGATATCGCAATAACAGCATTTTAAATGCTTACTATATAACTTTATAAATTATTTCATTTTTTTTTACTGTAGTCTACAAAAAAAACAAAAATTGGATCATAAGAGTTAATCGGACCGTCCATCATTCAATTTCAATAGTGCACAGAGTAAACAGTTTTACTGAAATACTTAAAAATCTGATCAGATAGAATTGAAAATAATTTTGTTTGTGTATCAAAATATTTAAGATATTCAAATTGAATAGAATGTTAAAATTTTTTACAGTATTATCATATTTAAATATTTTATACAATTATTTTAATACGCCAACAAAATTATTTTTGGATCTGAATCTGACTAAATTTTTAAATACTTTGGTGAAATCGTTCTTTCTGCGCAGGCAAGAAAATTCAGGCACGAAACATCATGCGAGGTGCATCGTTAGGACTGGCGCCACCAGTGACAGGACAATGGTAATGATTCAGAGTATCTATTTAAATCCGAACAAAAAAATTCTTTGAAAATTCCCTGACTTTCAAGACAATTTGTTAAAAATTCCTGACAAAATAAAAGTATTTTTTAAATGTATCGTCTTAGAAATAATTATATTTATCGTACAAAGTTATTTAATAAATTCAAGAAAAAT